CATCTCTCTCAGAATTCCCAGTGGCTTTTGCTTTCTGGACTCTGTGGTTTTGCTCAAGGTGGGGAGGATGATGACGCGTACTGATGTATTTTAAGTCAAAAATCACACCTGGCGTTCTCGGTTCAACTATTCAGTCATGCCACAGCGTATTGACACATGGAATTTGAGTAACTTTTTCCAGTGATCACAGTTTCATTTAAGTTAACAGTTGATTATTGTCTGCACATCAATGTTTAGGGTGCAAAAAGCAACTGCTAGTATTTGATGCTCGAATTGTGCAGGTTTACCAACTTCAACACAAAAGTTGTTACCTGAAATGGTTAAACGTGTATGTTTAGCAGCACTTACAGGCATTTGTGATTCGGCAAACTTTGTTAGTAATAAAAAACAAAGCTGAGACATGTAGCTATAAAGCCTGCAAACAGAAAAAAAATACTGAGCTAAAGGATTCAAAGAATTAATATGTCACGAATAGCCAACAGTTTATTCTACAGTCTGTTCACTTTACACAGAAGTAAACTCTAAGACGCAGCGAACGTTCATCTCAAAATTCATAACAACCAACAAACAGCCAAAATTCTGCCGAGCATCAGCAGTGAAATTAATGAGGCCATGTGGTCAGATTCCACAGCATACCTCACATCCCGCATCATGATTGAAGAATGAAGATTACCGCTCGTGCCAAGCCATCCACAGTCCTGGCTGCCGGACTGTAGCTGACTGCAGCGGGGCTGACAATGGGCTGAGCGAGTGTGCTAGCAGTTTCAAGATTGGCATGACTCATTCTTGGCTGGAACCGAAGCCTCCTTTCCCAGCCATCTGTCCATCACTGCCACTTCACTCAGCACAACACAAAGTCAATTAAATCATCGTTCTACAAACCGCGTCTCCTCCGTCAAACAGAAACAATGAGAGCAGACGTGACAGCCAAGTGTGAGAGATGTGTGACTGCTACGAGGAACGGTTACTAATATTTAATACGGAGCAGAGGAACGAACACTAAGTGAGCGAGAAAGTGAAAGAGAAACAGATTCTCAGTGCATCTGTGAAAAAAAACGAACGCGTGTCCCAGAGAAATGAGAGAGAGATAGAGAAGTAATGATCTCTTTGGCGTAGCAAAAAAAAAAAAGGGATTGACTGCATGGATGTCAAGGTGACACTGACAGGCCATTGAAAAAAGTGTTTACCCAGCATTCCATGTGCCAGTGCATTAGATAAGTGCATCATATGATCGAGGTGATGGACCCAGTGGCTGTCCATCACATGACAGGACTCCTGAGCTGGTTAAAGGCTGGCTACTCACATAGTAACAAGCCGCACAGCAAGAGAACCACAGTTTGATGTGCACGTAAAGTAACATAGACTAAATTCACGACATGATATAAAAGAAAAAAAATAGAATAGAGGGAAACTACTGAGCCTTAACTTGACTGTGTATATGTCCAAGTTAATCACAATATTCTAAATCATTATGGGAATTATTTTATACATTTTAACTGAATGTTTTATCTGACCATCAAACCCAAATTCAAAAATATTCTACATGAAACAACAAGAAGACAGTGTAAAACCTACATGTACTCAATGACAGTGCTGTAACTGTATGTTTAGCAGTTGCAATCCCTATCATGCTAACATCTGCTAAATGGTACTGAGCACGAGAGCTGAAATCTGTGTCAGTGTCATCATTTTTCAGTAATGTGACCTGCTGGCTCATTACAAAGAATGTCTTAACCAACTTTCACTGCAATTTGACATTTTACTAAAACTAAAAATGATGAGAGTTCCTCTGCTGGGGACCATAATTGTTTGCACAAAATCCCATGGCTACCCATCCGCTAACTGTAATGAAATGCCAGTCTGGACCAAAGTAGTAGACCAGCCAATGGATACTGCCATTGCTAGAGCCTGAAATTGGACAAATTTAACACATTTTGTATTCTGGTACACAATAGAGGTGAGTTTGTTCGAAAAGTATGGATACCGTCAACACATCTCCCCCATAAGTGCCGACTGATTCATCCTTATTAGGTGTTGTTCTGTGCTCAGCTGTTCTGACTGCATGACTTTCAAATGAACATGTCCTGTTTGGATATTTGCTTCAGTTCTGTTAATGCTGCTGCACTTCAAGGAGACACGTTAAAAAAGTAAATAAATAAAAAAAATCCTGCAGCATTACAGCAAGACAAATGCAGGGTGACGGGTCCCCTACAACTGCAAATTATGTGCTAATCCTTCTCCTCCAGTAAATATTACCTGCAACCAGCAGCAAAAGTCCCCTGAGACTCACTGCTCTCATTAACAGCGAATCCCCTCACAGCAAGATCTGGTTTATCTAACTGCTCCTTCTTCCTTCTCAGGTTCCTCGGTGGAAACACAGCACCATAATAGGATGATGGCTTATCAAGGGGATAAGTAAGAAAGACCAGCGGCTGCTCTCCTCTGCTGTTTTCTGCTTGCGTCATCAATATTCTGGCACTTTCCTGGTGTATGAAGCAGGCAGTGGATGATTGATGAGAACTGGCTCAGAGAGCAGAACGAGCTGCTAACCATCTTCAGTGGGGCAAAAACAAGCCAGCCTACAACTGGGACTGTGGACAAGTAAAATGATTTCAGCCTCATTTATTTTAATATATACGCTGATAAATTATATACTCTGGTCCAATTTCTGGCAAAATTTGTGATTTATTAAAAACTTAACTTGCTGCCAGAAGAGCCACGGGGATTTCCCCAGTATGTCTGCAATACATAGAACAAAAATCTCCCTCTAAAAATGCCAGGTTACAGTTAAGTGTGTCTTGGGAAAGACTCCACGTAGGTAATTTATGGTGACTGTTGAAATGCAGGTTCTTACTCTGCATAACAAATATGGCTGAAAGCTCACAAGTGGGCCTTGATGTTTACACTTTCATCAGTATCAAGATGATTACAGTTATGAAGTCAACACAATGCAACAATATACAACACACAAAATTATTTTATATAACAATATTTTCATGGTTGTAAGAGGGGCAACCACCTACATATCAGCTCTCTCCTATGAAAACCATGTGTCCTCAATGACAATTAAAACCTGTTTTCAGCATTGACATCATGAGATTTGTTAAGATTTTAAAAGGGACTGAATAGCTTAAGACAAAGGAGAATATGCTTAAAATAAGGGAACACTAACTCCATTATTTTACTTGAAAAATGTAGGTTCTTGGAAAACAAACATTTGTTCAAAAATGCACTGAACAGATTGGAAAATAATTCAGTTGTTTGACATTTTACACCAGTAAATGGTTTTAGGTTTTGTATTTTTTTGCTGAATTAGCTAAACAAGTGGTTTCAATCCATTGTTAATGATAATACATTATCACAAGCTACATCTATGTTAGCAGTGTCATAGCAGGACTAAAGGTCTAATTTATCCCACCTCCACCTTGAATCAGTTTTGGTTTTTAAGAATGTTACAGTTAAATAAGTGTAACTCTCCTTAAACATTGTTTTCAGAGAGAGGGTTGCACACATGCACAAGCAGTTGGTGAATTTATATTCAGCGCACATGTTAAACACAGTGTACCACTTTGTCCTTTTCTCCCAACTCACATAACTGACCAGTGCTTTATTCTACAAGCACCACTTCATTAATCAGCTGTTACCTCACCCATTCACAGCTCTCAGCAACAGACAGATACTAACAGAGTGACACTTAAACACGCAGTCTAAAGATACAGTAGGTGATATTTGAAGAAGTAGATGCTGCTGCAGAGACCAGGGGGTTCTTTCAGTCACACTGACACTTTAAGCTGCAAATCCTGAACTTACTCCCTATATAATCAACAAGCTCTTCGGTTTGAGTGTGAATATGTTGTGTTCCAAGTCCTAAAATATTAAAACACAGAGTGGCTAGTCAGGCAGTTTTTCATAAAGCCACAAATACAAATTAGCTACTAAGACAGTATGCACACTGTTGCACTGACTAATAAATGACTAATTTTAATTAGTCTAGTCAGCCACTTACACAGTCAGCTTTACCCCAGACTGGTTTTACGTCGACTCCTTTGGTTTTGCTCCTTAAGTGGCTTTAAGGTAGCATCTTAATGCACTGTCTGACAGTATTATGCAGTACATGTTCTCTATAAAACTCTATGGTGTTTACATTGTGTGAAATATTCAAAATGACTTTTGATGTCCTGAGTTTCAACTAAATAAATGTGGTATTTAAAAAAAGAAAAAGATTTTAATCTCCACATGGTTGGAACAATGTTTTTTGGGGTGTTTGTGTGGACTGCCTTCATCAAAACTGCTTTTTAAGGCAGATTAACAGTATGAGGTGGCTGATGACAATGACTGATTACTGTCACTGAAAAATATTTAGACTAAAGGTTTTAACCACCGTATCATTCACCCACGGGCAAACATGAGCACACAAGCAGAGCAGGAATTATTTGCAATACTAACTAGAAACTTCCATGGACATGACACCCACTCATTTACACTCACGGTGCTTAAACTCTGCACTAAACTCATACAAGAAGGAAGTCAAAACTACAGAGGTCCTCTGTTGTGACTGAGCATAAACTTTAAGGCTCAGCCTGCTCTCTACTGGTCTCTGTCCATAAAAACCAAACTCATCCTGGCTCTTTACTTTGTTTCCTTCTCTCCATTTGTTAACTACCGTCTCGACTTCCCACTTTAAGCTAGTGGTGGTCGTTCAACGGTGCTCGCAAAATTATACTAGGTGCTCATTTGAGCCTCTTTGTCTAAAAACAGCACGCTGCAAGAGAGTTACTGTGTGCATTCTGAGAAAGATTCTCACTAACTTTCCGGAAAAGCTACAAGGAAGAAAAATCAAGAATTGTATGATTATGCCCCTTTAAATCCTGCACTAATAACCTCCATTCTCCTGCAGTCCAAGCCCTTCCTCTTTGTTCAGAGGATAGAGAGGAGTTAGGCTCAGAAAAGTTTCAGAGGATATAGTTAGAGCTGCAGAAAGCATGTTTATACAAACTTACCAGATCTGACTCCTCACTGCCAGAGTAATACATTTCTGCCCTATCGACTCTGTGCCGTTCAGCCAGGCTGGGAGAAAATCTCCTCAGCTGCTGCCCATCTTCCCTCGGAGTACAGGAACTCCTACCAGCCCGACTGCTTCACTCCTACAAATCCCCTTGTCCCGGCTCCAAAAGGGAACAGCTTTGTCTCTGTAGCCCGAGCAGAGAAAGTTGGAGCCGGAGGAGAAAGTAAACTCCTCTCAGCCCTTCTTTGGCCTACTTTTAGTCCCTGAGAGGCAGAGAAAAGACAAGCGTCTTTCCCACGCTGGGAAAGCACTCCTTCAGAGCACCGCGACCGTCCTCCAGCCCAAAAAACAAGCCCTCCTGCCCCCTGCCCCTCTCCCCTCCCACACATACACACATCCCCGTCACACACACACACACACACACACACAGCTAGTTAGGAAGTAAGATCTCCGGCCAACAAGGCCGGCCTGAAAATTCCAGAAAGCACCAAAAGCAGCTGCAGAAGCTTTTTATGTCTGTGTGCGAGTGTGTGATCTTGGGAGTTTACATGTGTTCCACTTTGCCTTCAAGAGGTTACACACGGCGGAGAGGAAGGCTAAAGGATCTGAACTCACTGTATAGTCTCAGCACATGTTGCTGGGACCAAAACGTCAGGAAGTAATTATCTTCACTACATCGACAAAATGCCATATTTGCTTTCATCATCAACGGGACGAAAGCCATTGAAACTTTCCGTTTGGTCATGTGACGGCACATAATCACGCTTGTGTTTAGCTTTACATCCGAAAGAAAAACAAATGTACGTTTCTCAGTAAGAACAAGAGTACATAACACACTACAAACTCCTACATCTATAAAATTATAGCCGTATAAAAGTTGGTTAAGTAATCAAGTGACAGATTGCAGCTGGTATGCATCTAAAAACTGTAGCGGTTAGTTGAAAGAAACTCAAAGCAGATCCATCTCTTTATGATCCGACATCAGAGACACTGTAGCTGAGATGTGTACTTTGTAATCACACTGCTGTTACATCAAAGCTTGTGTCGACTGAAATGTTAAATATTCTAATAGTGGTAAAACATGAGTCAAAGCATGAGTTAAGAGCTTAGTCATGAGCTCACAAAATTAAAGCATAACTAATGTAAATTTTCCTGTCATAAAACAGGAGCAACAACAGAGGAATGCAGCTAAGTCACTGGAAAAACACACAAACTGAACAGGCACTGAGGAGAACAGAGTAAACAGTTGTGCCATTTTACGTTCAGCCTGTAAGACTGTTCAAGTTCTGAGTTTTATGTGACATTCAAGCAAAACCCAGAGTTAAATATGGACCATATATACATGTATACATATATAGGATATATATAGTGGGGAGGAAATATTTTCTGGGCAGCTCACCCTAAATCCCACATTATATTGTGTTTGATCAGTGTTAGCCCATTTTTGAAGATTATCATCCACGATGTGTGTTCTGTACGTGATAATGCAAACATAGCATACATTTTATTATCACTATGTAAGAATGTAAGAAGTAAACTAAAAACATGACCCAGTTCAGCTGAAATACACTTCTTCATTTTCTTGTCTAAATAGGAAGCTACCATCACCAACTGGTTAGCTTAGCTTAGCAGTGCATAAAGATGGAAAATGGAGGAAATAATTAGCCTAGCACTGTCAAAGTGCAACGAAACAACATATGCAGTCTCATTAGGTTAGATTCTATGTAAGAGCTGACTAAAAATGACAAACTGCTAAAGCGGAAAATGCTACCTTTAACTTTATACTGTTCCCAGCTATGCTAAGCTAAGCTAAGCTAAGAAGCTGCTGGTTGTTGCTTCATATTTAACAAAATAATTGCTTCATATTTAGCAAAATGGCAAAATCATATGGTTCATTTTTCTATTTTATCTACGGCAGGAAAGTAAATACCCTAATTTCTAAAATGTCTAACTGTTTCTGTCAGTCATGCTGACATATAGACCTTATATATAGACCATATTCTCCAGGTCAATATTTGTTGTGAGTTACGACTCTTTGCCTTTAAAATGGCACCAGCTCTCTGTACACTTTGTAGTTTTCAGGGCATTTAGCAAGTAGGTTGTTTCAAACATCTTGGAGAACTCTGTTGTAGGGCTCCTTGTTCCTCTTGTCATTAAATACAGTTTTTACAGTCTTTACAACTGTGCTACAGAATGATTTTGAACCTATCTGATGCTTCCCTGATGGTGCTACAAGACGGATAAGGACCATCTATAGCAAAGCAAAGTACGTAAAACTTCTGCAAAAGCACTGAATGTCACAGTTTATAATCCAGTCTCAGCCCTGTAGTGAACACATGACGTCAAGGTACATGAAGGTGAAAAGCCGACTAATTAAGTTCATCGCTGGAGGCAAAAATCTCAACATGCTGAGCGTGATGACATTTGATCACCAAGTGTGATGAGGTGTCTGTGAATACACTAAAAATGACTTTTGTATGTGAAATCTGCCACATACTGCCAGAAATTCAAAGCGACAAAAAACACAAGTGAGATTCTGATAATTATCAGGACATATGTTGTAAAATCAAAGTGAATGATGACGGTTAAGATGCCTCGTACTTAAAATATAACCCAAAAATGACACCATGTTTATCAATCCTGTGGACCTCCAGCTATCCCTGCCAGGATTTTTGTGCCGAGGCCTTCCATTGTGAAGTATACTGAGTTCAGCGTGCGGAATGGATGTCAAATTAATAAACGTACAGCCCCAGTTAGTTGCTTTATTTTACTGTAACGTAAACTTCAACAATAAAACATATTATAACATCCTTCACTGCCAACAGTAACTATCGGCTCTCTCTTAATGTGCTCTCTGAATGGGATTTGACAGATCAATGTCTTCCAGTTCTGCCAGTGCTGGGAAATGAGTGCCGGCATTGCCTTTGGCTTATCGATCAGTATACATGCACACAATGACGTCAGCAGGCATTCACTCTGACAAGCACACAAAGGCTGACAAGGATAGCTTACAAAACCAGCATACAATAATTGGACCACGAGGGGGAATCAATACAACATCCCAGTGTGTTTCCTTTTGGAAAAAAAAAAGTGACACTGCCAACAGTTGTTTCCCCTCATCACATAGTTAATAAAGAGTCACCTTGTACAGTATGAAGAGATTGACATGTTTTAATGAACCTGCCTGCGCTAACGTTTGTGTTCCAGGCATTTAACTACCAGGAATACAAGGAATTCATGATTGATTTGCCAGTTGTTCCCATATTCATTTGAACAATATGTTTTATTGGGTCTTTTACAGAACCAGTAATGATTTCAATGGAGTTTGGTGGACAATGATTAATATCCCATTGAAATTATTTCCCCCTAAAATAAACAGATGAAATAATAATAAGCTAAAGCTCAGGTACATACATGAAGTAAGTAAACAGATGGTTTCCATTATAGTTGAACATGTGACTGCAATGTTAATACAGTAAAATAATGAGCCAGAAACTTAGCATTAAGTCTAGCAACAGGGAGAAACAGTTACCCTGACTTTGTGAAAGGGTAACACAATCTACCTACCAGCTCCTCTACAGCTCACCTATTAAAGCTTTCTATCTTGTTTGTTTAATCTGCACAAAAAGAGAAGAGGAAAAACAAGTTATGGTTTACCAGGATGTCACACAGTGTTAAATGCAGCAAGTAACCAGGGTTGCACATGAATAAAATATTTATATTTAGTTTCATCAATTAGTATTTTTGGTGCAGAGTAGAATGTTTAATTGATTAGTTGACCATTCACACCTGCTACTGCTGCAAAAATTACTTAATGAATCGATTTGTTGACAATTATTGAATTACTTGCAAACTATTCTGATAATGGAATCACTGGTTGGAGTAATTTTTGAGAAAAAAAAAAAAAGCTTTGATTTTAGTTTCCTGTAATGTAATATTTTCTGGTCTCTTCACTCCTCTATGACAGCAAACTGATTATGTTTGGGTTATAGACAAAACAAGACATTTGATAGTATCATCGTGGGCTTTATGAAACACTGTTTAACACCATTTTATAGGTCAAACGACTAATTGATTAATTGAGAAAACCATATCCAGATTAATCAACAATGAAAATGATTGCTAGTTACTGCCCTAATCCCTACATTTAACTATTTTTAGATGATTTCTGTCTTCACTCCAAGCCTCTTCATAGGAAAAGTGCCAGATTTAATTCAGTGTCCTTGGAACTAATGGAGATTTAGTTCACCATGCACACCAGAACAGATGTTTTATCCAGAGTCCTCCAGCTGAAGGAAAGAGTCAAACCACAAACCTTTACTCCACCTCAAGGGAACAACACTAAAACTGACACCTGCGAGTCATTTACAGTCAGCGCGCAGCTTAGCGTACACTGTCCTGTTTAAGACAGCGTTGCAGGGATCACACCTGTGTACTCTCAGTAATGGGACAGTCTCTCGAGGCACCAGGTTGCTCGACTGCCAAATCAGGAGTGGACACAGGTGTCAGACAGTTTCATGCTAGTGTGAGTCCACAGTGGCCACCGCTCACCATTAAAGCAAACAGCCCGAAACAAAACCACTCCGCACTGCCAAACACACTTGCCAGTGATAAAGTGCTCTGGATCATGAGTTAATCTGCATTACATCAATACAACATCATAACACTTAAGACTTCATGACGGAGGACAAAACAAAGGCAGACATGGACTATAATTGATTGATTTTGACTGCTGAGTATCGCCAGGGACAGAGATGATGTCCAATAACATCAACAGTGTTGCGTTCTCTGTCAAAAGTGCTGTTATAACATGCCATGCAAATGATGTTTAGTAAACTTAAATAGACCACTAATTGGCTCAAACACACTACAATTAGATCACTGAGGAAATGTCAGAAAGGCCTCTCCAAAGGGGGCTTCCTTGCCAAGAATCCTATTATACAAATGAGACTCTCCAAGATGCCTCAAGTGCTGCTGGATAAATCTTTTACTTTGCCTGAAAAAAGACACCACCCAGAAGTCTACTATTGAATAAAATCTACATTTTGTTACCCTACTTTTCCAGGAACCTATATATCAAGTACTTTACTGTTCTGAGATGATTCTGTAACCTTTATGATCACAACTTTTTTTTAGACAGACCATCATCCCTTCTCAGTTTAAACAGTGTGAACGTTCTCTCCTTTTGTTTTTTGATCAAATATTTTTTCACATAAATGCAAATTTTTATAAAGTGAACTTATTTTTCAGCCATTTTATCTTAAGCCTAAATTAAAGGTACATAAGCTAAACTTTTGGGAGCAGCTATG